GAACTAAACTTAAAATGCAAATTATTAAGCAGACGACATCATCGATATTCAAACGAGTAGATTCTGAATTTTTAAACTTTATATACTCAGAAAATCGCCTACGATATTATATATGATGATTTAAAAATCATAGAAGTTAATTTTATAACTTGTAAAAATCGTCCCAGTCTGGGTCGGTAGTATATGTACATTGTACGTTATACCGGGTTGCATAAAAAATGCATTAATTTAATGGTTCAATAAAATCTAATGGACCAATCATGTGTAAGGGACATGTTTAATCGTGTTTGTGTGTTGACGTCGGTCGACGAGATAATAAATTATGTTTTTTAGAAATCCGTCAGTCATATACTCATTCACACGTCCGTCTTCATTAAAGGAAATACTTCAAACAGTCATTAAAAAATATAAATATATTCGCTAGACCATTATGCGATCAATTAATCGATGGCAACGACTACACGAGTACACGACGATTACGAACAAATAAAAATGTACCCACGCACGAGATTATAATTAATTATTACCCAGTGAAGTTGTATGTTATTGCGGTCCTTTTAAATTGCACATATTATTATATATATGTATAGAAAGTGATAGTTCTTGCAAACAGTCAACGGAACAAATGCCAATGCGTATATTATATTTTTCTCGGTTTTCTGCAATGTTAGGTATGTAGGTACTAGGTTGTATAAGTATCTACTTATCGTATGTGCATTGTGCAGTGTGCACACTTGCAACAGGGTTATTTTTTAAAACGCAATGCATTTATTTGTCTAAGATAACTAATTTATTTTGAAAAACACTAAGTATTTTCAGTACTTAGTGCTTACCTAACCAGGCGCGTATCCAGAATTTTATTTCGGGAGGGGCTGAACAAAATTATCAACATAGTCACACAATAAACAAAAAGTGGGTAAGTGGATGTCGCTCTGCTGTACAGTAGGTAACAAGTGGGTAACTGTAATGAATGGTATAAAATTTGAATTCAATGATATAATATCATTGTATAAGAAAAACGATTCTAAGCGAAAACGGTCAGTCAGCCTATGATATTACCAAGTATATTTGATGATATTATTGTGAATAAAGTAATTTATATATTTACCTATTTACGTGGATCATTGTTTTAAATTTTTAATCCTTAACTATGAAAATTGAACATTTTATAAATTTTTAATTACAAAATATTTATTATATTTTAAATTTGATAAATTTTGTCAAAATTCGAACTTTAAATGATTATAAGAAAAAATTGTGCCTAGGTATGTATTTTTAATATTTTTCAACTAATATTGTTACAATATATCAGGAGCCTTGCGTTAAATTTTCACGCTTTTTACCCAACAAAAAATTTTTTATTGATATTTATAGAAAAAAAACTAAGAAAAATGAAAACTTTCAATGTCCGTAAATAGCTCAAAAAGAGGCAAAATATTTTCAAATTTTTTTGGTGTATAAAAAATGAAAACATTCAGCAAAATTTTAAGTTTTGTGATCTTTCAGTATTTTGTCAAGATTCGAACTTTAAATGCTTATAAAAAAACTATGACTAAGGATTTTTAATATTTTTCAACTGCTATTGTAACAATATAGCAGGAGCCTTGTATTAAATTTTCAAGCTTTTTTACCCAACAAATAAAGTTTTATTGGCATTCATATTTTTTGGATTTTCTTGAAATTTCAGGGGGGGCTGGAGCCCACCCAGCCTCCCCCATAAATACGCCCCTGTACCTAACTATTGGTAGAACTAATTTACTATTGAAAAAATAAGTGCAATAGTAGCAATAGTAGCTAGCAGGGGCCATATGACTCATGAGACAATGAGTCACAACTTTAATCACCTGAACTTTATTTTCGCCGGGAGAGCTTTTATAATAATAATAATTATCTTTATTATACAGTGGATATCAACTCGATTTACGAAAATAATATTTACAATAATGGCACATAATTTTTAACATTTAATAATTAATATATGCTACAACAAATTAAAAATATCGTTATATATTATACATATTGAATTTTACAGACTTATAATAGCATGTGATATGATGAAACATTTTAATTTTAATAAATAAAAAAAAAATTTGAATTTTATTTTTTTGTCATGAATAAATCAATACTATCGTAATTAAAATAATAAATATCAATATCGAGTAAAAAATTTTGAGCTCGACACTTAGACATTCTATAAGTTATAAGCTTCTTGCAGTCATCATAAACTTAAAAAGGTCTACTGGTGAAAATTATGGCATTTAAATTCATATAGTACTCAGTCTATTGGCATTTTGTGACCCTAGGCTGGTACGCGTTACGTATTTACGTATTTTGGTAAGCTATAAATTAGTTTTGTTTATTACTAAACATTTTGACTATACTTGAATATTAATACATTTATTGTTTGATACTCTGATCACTAAAAACAGAAATCATTATTTTCCAGTAGGTTGTCTCTTCACCTTCAAATAAACTTTTTTTAAATACCAATGTGATAAGTGAGATACAATAAAGGATGTATAATATTCACAAAATAATATAAATAATAACTCAATCAAAATATTCAATACCTATCAGTGGCGTGACGTAGGACTTTGTTGAGGTACGTGCCTCAGTTTAAATGGTGGCAGGTGTCCTGGATACTAGAGGCATTTCACATATTATTATAATAAATAATTTATTAAGCGTATACACAGACTAAGCCAATCTTTCTCAGTTATTATTTACGTAAATACGTAATTACTTATATAAGTATTTATAATTTATTACTTATATAAATTAATGTGCCTCATAAGTTATTAGTTAATGAAGTTCGCCACGCCACTGATACCTATCACTATTTATTATATTCGTAGTACCTACCTATAGTAATAACTTATACTAATTATTGGTGTACCAACAATCATATTTGATAATAGAATCGTTTCAACAGCGAAAAATCTAATCACAATAATTGTTAATATTTTATTAATACTTAATTCATAATTGTAATTTACATTAAAGTTTGAATGTTTATGCTGTGTATTTTCTGTCATTTATAAATCGCACAATTTCCAGTAAATGTATTAATTGTTTTTTATACAATACTTTTGAATATTTTAATATTTATTCATTGTTATGATTTTTTTTTAATTTTTTTAATTATTTAAATGACGACATATATTTTTAATTTCATAATGGAAGCAGAATATTTTCCTGAGAATTTAAATGGATAAAAATCGTTACATTCTCACAATATTCTAATCTTTTTATAGGAACAGGACTGATTATCAGGGAATAATTTGTCTGGCTCTGGTTAGCCGATTTAATGACAAAATTACTTGACATTATGTTATGTTTGCATACTCATATAGTATACTTATTACTTAGCCATATGGCCTATATTATATTAAGTCGTTTTTTAAATGGCAAAAATAAATAAAACTGGCACTCGGAAATCGGATAAACAGTAGGTTTATACCTACGACACGAGTGTATTAAATATCTGTTTAGTCTAATCTAATGTAAACGACGGTGGCCAACGACGACGAGTTCAACGAGCTCACATATTATTATTATTTATTATCGCTGGTCGTTTCACGTTTGTGGTTTCATATTATAATATAATAATAATAATAATATTCTTTTCGTCGCGACCGGCCAAGTGACCGAACTAACCGGCACGCATTACATTATTTTGGCCGCGTTCCAAAGAAGATAAAAAAAAAAAAAATAACAATAAACAACCCAGCACTTAATTGTGGTGTATATACAGAGCGAACGAAATCTAAATAATTCGTATCGTATATCGCGTGTTCGTATACGAATATAATATACGTCGGTACAACAAGTGGTATGTCCCATTACTATGGGCACTAGAGATGTAAGGGCGAAATGAGTCGACTCTGAGGTATATAATGCATCCCACGCTATTCTACCTTGATAAAATAATAGTCATAACTAGTATAACTGATATTTTCAGAGTTCAACGGTCCCCCTCTACATATTGAACAGGCCCATAATGGTGTGCTATAAATTAAAATAAACTAGCATACCTATAATATTATGACCAGTCCATTCCTGACCGAAAGTAAATAATATTATATTTTAATATTATATTTAATCGAGTTGAATTAATTCTACAGGTTAATACAGATAACCATACTCATTTAGATATAGATGTAAGCATGTCTGGTTGTTTAGTCTGGCTCTAAGATCGACAGTAAGTTATAACACGACATTCCGTCATGGAGTGTCATAGTTATTCCATATTTTCAATGTCGTAAAATATATGCTAGAAGCCTAGAACTTATGTGGGGGCATAAAAATAACTTTGGTTTTAATAAGTTTTATTACTAATTAGTAGGTAATTGGTGATTTCCAAGCATACCAAGTGTCTCATATTATTATTTTAATACAATATGATTTGTATAATATAATAATAACGACCATAATATATAACGTATTACCTTTGTGTTATGTCTATAAAGTTCTTAAAAAGTTGTCTGTGGGTAAAACAATATTACTGATTATTCTCCAAAACGATTACTATCATAATTATTATCAATTTTACATCACTATAATTGTCGCGTAATATGGACGCGTGCGCGCGTCCCACCCGACTAAACGAGTAGGAAAATATAAACGTATTACAACGATATATATTTATAACGTTGGTGCTAAGCCGCCTCGACCGCTTCTCACGGTATATACAATATGCTGCAGCAGTAATCATATGATAGACGTCAAGCGGTACATCGTCGTCGTCGTCCCGAGGATCCTACGAGCCTTCCTCCTCGCCATCTCCCCTCGGCCCCACCACGGATCCTACCAAAATCCTCGCCAACGCCCCAGTGCGTACCACCCGTTGGACGAGACGACCCGGCGGCGCGACGGCGGTGGCCCCCCAACACGGCGCACAATCCGTTCACTCTTAAAAAACCATCGTGTACGCGTGTTGGCGCGACAAATCCAAACCACTGTCCGACTCGTCGCCGGCAACAAGTTATATACGGCGATAAATGGTAAATTACTCTGTATACACGCTAAAACCTATCACAGGTAATATTATTAAAATATTATTAATTATTACAACTTGTGTCGTCCAATACCTAACGCGTCTCATGTACCTGTAATATTACCTACTGCAGCCATATCGAAATATTATATTAAACAAAGTGCAACGTTGCACCCGCGATCATTGTACCTGCAGTTTATACGCGTATATTATACCCAGCGCAGAACATTATTGTCATAATATCATTTTTGTAAGTATTTATATATCACGTTTGCCGTAGTGTTTATTCGCACACGTAAGAACACAACACCTGCGGCTCGCGGTATATAAATTGTCGCCGCGATATTTTATATTTACATACGAAGCCAGCCAGGTCACGGCGACATAAAATATATATAACATTATATTTTACACTCGTATATAAACCGTAGGCTAACGACGACGACGACGACGACAAATGAAAACAGTTGAATAAAGAAAAACACAATATTATAATATTATTTTGGCCGCAGTTAATAATCGTGTGCTCGATCGTTTTTGCCGGCAGACTGTTGACATTCGTGGACCGGTGCAGATGACCCACACAGCGTTGGCGTCCAAAGAGGAAGAACGCAGCGGTGATTGGATCGACCAAGACGTCGGTCATCATCAAGTGAGTATACAAGTACTTGAGTACATCATTTAAATTCAAAGCAATAATATTATGTCGGTACTATATAATTGAATATTTTAAAGTTCATTGCAACCTACCTGTCTGATCATTCTTATCGCGTGTTATCAGATTTGTTTCGACCAATAAACATTAAAGTATTAAACCTTTTTTTTTAACCAAAACCCTTATACTTTTAACTTAAAATCTGTATTTTTTTACCAAAAGAATATACAGCAGTAGTTGATTCAACACCTCAAGTGGGAAATGAATCGAAGAAAATACCATCTATACTGCATTACTGCTATATACTTTTATATACCTATAATAGTACCTACTATAATTAACCATTAGGTAGGTAAATAAAATCGTTTTCTGCAATTATTTTAGCTATTGAATATATGTTTCAATTATTTTTCCTTTGAAAAATCGTGATTTTTGTTGGATACTTAATGTATAGTAGATTACAATTATATATAATTAAGGAATGTAGTTCTAACATAACAAATCAAAAATTATAAAAAAAACATCCGAAATGGAACTTTTCTTGTTGCTATAGGTTGGTTTTTGAACCCTTTTCAGTCGGAGAATTTTTTTTTTAAAGAGGCTCTACGTCAACTTCAGTCTTCAAACAAATGTTTTTGTGTTTGTCACAGGATTGATGGTTAAAAAATGAAGGGTTGGGATTAAAACATACATATTGTAATGCTAATGGGCGAGATTATAGGGTAGGTATCTTAATAGTTAATTGTATAGTTAAATAGGTATATTATAACTTATAAGACATTAAAACTTGTAAAAAAAGGTCCATGACCATAGTCGTGTTTTGTGAGTAATCGTCTTTAATCTTGTCGATTATCTAATTATTATCAGTGCGTACATAAAGCCGTATCTAGATATTTTTTGGTGGGAGGGGTGGTTCAAATTGTAATTTTAGTGGATTAAAGTTTTGATATCTGGTATGACATAAAGTACAAATTTATGACTGAAAATACTTATGGTGGTCTCAAAAATTATTTTAGACATGTAAAATGTTGAAAATATGTTGGGGGGTATATACCTTCTTATATGCCTTGAGTGGTCTAATAATTGATTAATTTGAATAACCATGTAAAAAAAGTGTCAAAACATATTATTGTCGATGACAAAGATACGGCGTTACACGGTATATAAATGTGTATGGGTGTATGTCCTATTTGGCTATTTTCTATTATAATATTACAGCACTTAGTTTCTAATTATATGTATACATTATTTATGTAAAACAAGTTTGAAAATGCTTATTTATGCACTACTATAGATTGCAAGTGGGTAATAATTACTAGTTCTGGGAATGATAAATAAAACAAAATATATACCAACTAGATTAAACTATACTATGTAATTTGAATATAGTTGATAAGAGCTGAAATTGTTTTTTTTAACCTAATTATACTATAATTATTATCAAATGTCAGTTGTTATAAAATTGCGGGTATTGGTGATCATAGCATTCAACGAAAAATCGTAATGAAATGAGAATAGAAAACTAAATCTGGTGACAGCTATAAAATGAAATCCATGTACCTAATGGCTAATGGACTTAGGTAGGTTTAGTATAACCTGCGAAAATATTACTTAAATCTTAAATATTGAGGATGGTTTTTGTAGAAAAATAGATCTAGTTTGTACTTAGAATAGGTGGGACGGGGATGGTCAAAAGGAAAAATTTACTTTCAATTATTTTGGATAGTATCATTATGTTTATGTATATATGATATGATAATATTTGTGTAATAGTGGAATGTTAAAAGTTTCGATTAATATTTTTTGATGAATATCTACATTTTCGGTAATTCCCTACAATGTGTCAATGTATAGAGTATCTTAATAACCTACCAAGAAATGATTTTATATCCTGATTATACTTGTATATTTAACAATGCAAAATCATGTATTGACAACATTTTTATTAATTACCTGTCGTACCTATAACTAAATCATACATTGTAAAATTTAATATAACGGATTACTAGTGTCTAGTTCTGAGGTACTAGGTAATCTAAAGACTACGATGATTATCATAATCAAGCAGGAAATATTATTGAATTATTTGTAATTTGCGATTGTAATAATACTCTGATACCACCAGAATATAGATATAAAACTGATTATAATCACTTAAATGCATACTTAATCAAACTGGAGATTGGGATTTGGGATGCTATAACCTATAGATGTTGATAATTCTTACGATTTATTCAATACAAACATTTATGAACTTATTAATTTAACAACTAACAATTTTAAAACAAAAAATAAAAAAATAATAAAACTCAGGGATAACACATGGTCTAATTATTTCCATTAAACAAAGAGAAAATATGGCAAGTAATTTAAGTAAAATACCTTATGATAGTTATTTCAGACCTAAATGCAATATAAACAGAAATGTACAGTACCTATATTCTAATAAACAAAGCTAAGATTATAAAAGCGGGTAAATATTCAAAATCAACATGGAGCATTAAAGATGTGGTTAGTAAAAAAAAAAATTAATAAAACAATAACAACTAACAAGGTATAGTTTGATCAAAATGGTGTTATGATCGCAAATGAAAAAGATATTAGCCATGTATTTAAGAATTTTTTGTAAATATCGGTAGAAATATTGAAAATAATCTTATATTAAAAGATATCGTGGAAAGATCTAAATAATAAATGGGAAATTTGAAATTCAATGTTTGTACCCTAAAACCTGTAGATAAATATGCGATTTAAAAATATAAAAAAACAATTAAAAAATCTTACAACTTACTTTTTAAAATGGTCTAATGAACCAAATCTAAATAAACAGCTAATATACCATAACATTTCCACTGTCAAAAATATTTAATCAATCAATCTCTTCAGGTGTATATCCGTCCTGTTTCGAAAAATGTATAGTTGTTCCAATATATAAATCAAGTGACTCTTCTAATATTGTAGTAATTACTGCAATATATGCACCTATGCTTAAATATCTTGGTATAACATAGGATAGTACATTTAAATATACCATCATATAAATGCATTAACTAACATTAACTAATACATTATGTAAACTCTTATAGAAATGAAAGACTTATTAATATATTGCTCATTTGCTCGTCCAATCAATTCTGAATTACAGGATGATAATTGTATGGGGCCAACCTATCACCTATGACTCTTAAAGAACTTAATTAAACTCAACTGTAAATAGCCCAATTCAATTTTAAATAACCCAAAACATACCAATAATTATGTATACCACAAATTAAAAGTAAAGAACATGATGTATTTTAAAAAAATTTAATTGCTTTGTATAATTAATATAAACATAATTGAATTTTCTCTTTGAGTTGTATACATATAATGACCATTAATTATTAACATTTTATTTCTTTTACAAAATAGTGTTTATTTTTGTGTACCTATTCGTCCTATTCTAAATGTTTTAGGTAATTTCTTAATAATGCACTATAATTATTACATTTTTATAGGTTTGTTGTTTTTTTTTATGAATAACCACTTTTACTTGTTAAAATACAAGATATTATAGGTAACGATTTACATTTAATTGAAAACAATTCATTTGTCTGAGAATATTTTGTTCTTTTGATTACCATTTGTTGGTGTTACATACCTAGTATACTTAGTATAGTACTATAGCATACGTACCTATTTTTCGATTTTTGGTATTTTTAAGTCTGTGTGCAGTGCATCATTTCAAACAAACCTTGGGGAACTTGAAATTACATTTAGGACTTTGGATAGTGTGACTCGAATATTACATAGATAAACTAATATTACGAGACCATGCAATATTTTGTCCATTGAGCTATTGTGTAGAAATAATAATATAAAAAATTATTTTTATTCTCAAAGTTTCAGCAAAATTTTCAATTTTTTCAAAATTATATCAGATTCTTGAAATTTTTTATGTTGCTCACTTCGTATAGAAAGGTTGGTAAACCTTGGCTCAAAGTATGTTATTGTAGATGCGTCCTGTTTGTCGTCAGTATTAACTATTACTGTGTATACAAGAAGTTTTCATAGTTTTGCTAAGCTGATATTATGTTTTCTAATAGCTGTTTTTACAATTAAAATATTGGACTCGTTACTTAGAGCTGTATTTTCATATAATCTGTTTATTCAACGTATATCATAAAATAAACATGTCAAATAGTGCAGCATACGACAGTAATTCATCCGTTGTACAAAATCTGTACAAGAACGAAATTATGCAACTGGTTTTTGACGATCTCCGGGAAAATATAAATAATCCACAAAAGGTTTATGTCGTCGTCACCTAACATGGCTGTGTGGACAAATCCCGCAGCCAAAGCACCAGAGATCGGGTGGAAATCAACGCACAATATAATACTACCGGTTATCGAAGATCTCCGGGAAAATGTACAGAAACCTTCGAAAATCTGGGATTTCCATAGTTTTCCGGTGCACTGCAAGAGATTTATGTCATTACCCAATGTGGCCGAGGGTGCAACTTCCGGGGGCGACGCTCCCGAGTTTGGATTGCCGTCAGTTACGTCCGCGGAGTTGCCAGTTTCAGCCGATTCGCCGTTTGCCGGATTGTCTATTGCCACATTGATGACACCTGCAGCTGTCCCTGTAGAAGATAGCGGGATTGAGACATAATCGTTATCCGTAGTCTCGTCGTCTTTGCCACGGGCACGAAAGGTAGAAGCCGGCGTGTGGCTTGTGGTAACCCGCGTTGGCCGTATAGTGATGAGGGGACGGAATCGGCGGTAACCACAGTCTCACCAAGACGTTCACTGTGGAGCCGGACCAAAAAATTCCTCATTCAAATGTTCTGTTGTAGTGCGATTGACAACGCAGACGTATAGATGAGTTTATAATATGGTTTTATTAGTTATTACGATTATTTGGGCACCGGATTTTAGACGTCCCCTCCCCTCTTCCCACCGTCGATCGTGTCGTCCGCGTTCGTACAGAGTTCGCTCCGTACTTTTATCATTTAT